GCATCATAAGAGAAAGAACAATGGAAAAAGCAGAAATATAGGCAAATACAATAGATTATACTTCTCCTCATGGGTTTTACAAACATATAGATCCCTCTTTTGTCCATTATGATGGTTTTATCTTGAATCTAATTCTATTTTTTTTTAAATTTTATTTATTTATTTGACAGAGACAGACACAGCAAGAGAGGGAACACAAGTAGGGGGAGTGGGAGAGGGAGAAGCAGGCCTCCTGCTGAGCAGGGAACCCGATGCGGGGCTCGATCCCAGGACCCTGAGATCATGACCCAAGCCGAAGGCAGTCACTTAACCGACTGAGCCACCCAGGGGCCCCTTGAATCTAATTCTATTAAAAACATTTTATCTGGGTATTCTTTTAGTTCATATTTGCCTGGAACATCCTTTGCCATCACTTTGTTTTTAATTTTTCTGTGTTGCTTAGTTTCCAAGGTATGTGTTAGTTTTTTGTTTTTGTTTTTTTTTTAATTATTCATTTGAGAGAGAGAGCGTGAGCAGGGGCAGGGTAGGGCAAAGAGAGAGAGAGAAGTAGGCTCTCCGCTGAGCAGGAAGCCCAGCGCAAGGCTCAATCCCAGGACCCTGGGATCATGACCTGAGCTGAAGGCAGACACTTAACTGACTGAGCCACCCAGGTACCTCAGTTTTTTGTTTTGTTTTTAATTCAAACAGATATTCTCTGCCTTTTGATGGATGGGTTTGACTCATTTACATTTTTTGTAATAAATCAGGTAACAGGTCTTATTCTGTGTTTTCCCTTGACCATACTTTATTGTTGTTTCTTGTTTTCTCTTGTCTGGGTTTCCATTAAATAATCAGTTCTTGGGGCGCCTGGGTGCCTCAGTCGGTTAAGCATCTGCCTTCAGCTCATGATACCAGGGTCCCGGGATCCCTGCTTAGTGGGGAGTCTGCTTCTCCCTGCCCCACTGCCCCTCCCCCTGCTTGTTCTCTCTCTCAAAAATAAACTATATTTTAAAATAAAATAAAAAAATTAATTATCAGTTCTTTTGTTCTGGTTTGAATGTTATACATCTACTTTTACCCTCATGGTCCTTGGACTTAACTTATTAAAACTCACACCTATGTTTCTTCCCCCCAACCCATCTATTTATCAAGCTTGTGAATATGTATATCGTCCCTCTACTCAACGACAAGTAACTTAGTTACCTCATTTGTGCATTTCTACTTCCCAACCTCATCCTCAATGGTATTAAAATTTTAGTGGAATTGTTATGTACATGTAGTTGGTGTCACCTTGTTTCACCACTATCTCTGTTCCTTGAAGATGATAATAAATCCTTTACTAAATTATTTTTGCCCTTACTTTCTTTATATCCTAAAGCATCTCCCTGAATTCTTTTCCTTCTTGCTGATGTACATCCTCCAAGAAAATTTCCAAGGTCTTGTATGCATAAGAGTATCCTTATTTTGACTCATTTACATGATACTTAATTAAAATATAAAATTCTAGATTCAAGGTCTATCTTTTACAATTTGAAAATACCATTACACTTCCTTCTGTAGTCAGTATTACTAGTGAACAATTAGATTTATTTATTCAATTATTACTTATTAAAGGGCCATAAAATGCCAGGCACTGTTTTTGACACTGGGGATTTGGCACTGAACTCTGTTTTATAGGTGATCTGTTTTGTCTCTGGGAGTTTTTAGAATTTCTTGCTATTTATTGTGTAAGAGGTCATGAAGAGTGACTGCCAGTTAACCTGTAAGCTAGACCCAAGCAATGGGAGGCTCCTCACCCCTTCCCCTGCCCTTGGAAATGTATGTTCTGCCCAGCATTCCCACAGTAGGAGTCATTTTGGGGTTGCAGCCTTGAGAGAGTGATGTGTTATTGAGACCATGTGGACTGAATATGTGACTGAACCCAGTTAAAGCCTCTATAGAAACTTTAAAGATTCTGGTGGGTGGGTGCAGAGATCAACTTGTCTCTTGAACAGCTGCCCAAGAGAACCTGGTATATAAATTCCCTTGCTTATTAAAATTGCTGCCTACCAGCCTGGAGTAGTCTGCCTCTTTCTTCAGTCTCTCCTTGCCATATATGGGGGCCAGTTTCAAATTCTACCTAGGTTGCAAATCAGTATTTATATTGTTAGATTTTATTATAATATGTGGTGTCTTTTCATATTTTTCCTGTTTGACTTTCTAGGACCACTTTTGATTTAAGTTCCTTAACTTTCATTTGTCCATAATCCTTGGTTATTATTTCTTAAAGTATTTTATCTGTTTATTCTTTTTTCTTTCTAGGACTCTCATTATATAAATAACTAGTCAGTCTCCATGTTGCTTAACATTTCTTTCACATTTTTCAGCTTTTTATCCCTTTCTGATAATCTTATGGAAGAGTAGAGCCCAGCTTTAAAATTCACTCTGGCTTTACATATTCTGCTATTCAATAAAATATTGAATATTTTCTTTCAACCATTATTTTTAACACATGGTTTTGTTTTTATGATAAGTTCTTGCTAAATATTTCTTATCTCCTCCTTTATCTTTTAGGATAGCTTTTTTAAAATACATATATTTTATCCTAAATGGTCTACTAATTCTGCTTTATCTTCTATAAATTTTTCAGTTTATTTTCTTTTTATAGCAAGAGAGTTCTTCTGGTATTTTTTTTTCCCGTGTAAACTCATACTCTCCAAGCCCAGGTTATAAGCTGGTAACACAGGAAGGGCCCAAGCTGTAGATCATATGTTTGTATGTAGAGAGGGCAAGGAGTACTTAGGGGGATTTGAGTTATTTTAAAAGCAGAGAATCTATGGCATTTACCACTCTCTTCCTACCAGATGATCTTATCCCTCAGAGAACCTCTCTATCTCTACCTCTTTTTCTTTTTTTTTACAGTAATTGCCTGGTTCAGTGTGTGTGTGTCAGGATAGAAGAAAGCTCAATAAAACCTAGCCCAGCTCTAGGGCTACCCTGTGCAATGGTGAAGGAGTGGGCAAAGACTTACCCAGAGCAATGTGGGAGTAGATGGAAAGGAGCACAACAAAACACCAAAAAGCACTCCCACTCCCTATAGCATCTCCCTGCAGTCTCCTTGTAGCATCTGTCTTCCATTGCTGCTGTCATGACCTCCCTACCTACACCAACACACACACACACACACACACACACACACTCCTAGGACCAACTGTAGCCATCTATCTTTCAGAGGGATTCCAATCAATTTTTCAATAGTTTTTCAATCCAACAACTTCCCTCCTTCCAAAGGATATTTGGGTTGGGTTTTGGGAAAAGAGCTAGCCATTTATGTTAGGATACTGTATTAGTAAACTTTTCTTTCTTTTTTTTTTTTAAAGACATGTTTGGTGTTTTTTTTAAGATTTTATTTATTCATTTGACAGAGAGAGACACAGCAAGAGAGAGAACACAAGCAAGGGGAGTGGGAGAAGGAGAAGCAGACTTCCCGCTGAGCAGGGAGCCCGATGTGGGGCTCGATCCCAGTACCCTGGGATCATGACCTGAACTGAAGTAAACTTTTCTTTGCATAGCAATATTACTATATACTTAGTGGCTCAAAACAGCATACATTTATTATCACCCAGTATCTGCGGGTGAGGTCTGAGCACAGCTTAACTGGGTCCTCTGCAGCCAGCTATTAAGGTGTCAGCCAGGACTGGGTTCTCATGTGAAGACTCTACTAGCAATGATCCACTTCCAACCACCAGGGGGTTGCTGACGGGGTTTAGGTTCTTGCTGGCTGTTGGTTGAAGTCCACCCATAGTGGACTTGTCATGTGAGTCCCCCCAACATCAACCCTGGCTTCATCAAAGCCAGCAAGGAGTCTCCAACCAAGAAGCATTAGACATGTCACCTTTGTTGTGTTCAATTGTTTAACAGTGAGTCACAGGTCCTATTCATAATCAAGAAGAGGGGATTACACAAGGGTGGGAGCCACATCAGATTATGGGAGCCAGAGAAGGGGTGCCTTCTCGTGGGGACTAAAAATCATCTTTCCCCAAAGTTTTTGAAAGCCATTTCAAAAGTTTTAAGCAGTAAAGTTACATTATATTCTTGCTCTAGAATGATCACTGGCCAGAAAGTGTGGAGAATGGACCACTGGGAAAGATAACTGGAGTTAGGGAAATCACTTAGGAGACTGAGTGTAATCCTAGTGAAATGGGGGTAGCCAGAAATATGGTGATGCCAGTGGGAATAGAGAGAGATGGACAAATGGGAGAGTTGTTTAAAAATATAGTAAATAAGACCTGGAGATAAATAGGCAGTGAAAAGGAAGAGTTGAGGATATTCTGGTTCTGGCTTTTGCAAATGGGTTTGTGGACAGGGAAAACAATTCACTGAGAAAAGGAAGAGCAGTTTAGGTGTTTCAGAGTTTGGGTGGGTAGGTTACCGCAAGAGCAGAATTAGAGACTAACCATGCTCCATTGAACAAACAACCTCTTGTGATAAATTTAATTTCTATGGCTGCAAAGAATGTGTTGCTCCAAGTTGTTGAAACTGGCTGAGTTTTTTCAACTCATCTATTTCACACAAGTTAATTTCCGGTATCACAAAGCAGTCTATGGATGCACGAACATCGGTCTGTGTATATAATCTGCTGTTCCCCAAAAATACACCTATCACATTGTTGGAAGGCAAAGGATGAGTTTGGAGAGGACAAAAATATGGGGAAAGCCATGTACTGTAATATAGCTTACAGTTGAGTCATTAGGGTTGAACTCCTCAGCAGCCCTAAGCACTGCCCTGCAGTCCTACGAGCAAAGCTCGGGTACCGCGGCCACCAACTCGACTCCGTCTCTCTGGCGTTCGCGCTCTCCCTTGGGGGAATCCCACACCACCGATGCGGTCCGATACTCTCGCGAGAGAGAAAGAGACCACAGCTTCTTCGATTCTCCCAACCGCGCCACGTGTGCTCCCACCTGCAGAGAAACGGAGTCTGGCCACGCCCAGGGGCTTCTGGGATTCGTAGTTCCGGGGCTGACTGAGGCCTGCCGGCCTTGCCCCGCTCCTCCTTACGCATGCGCGACTCCGAGCTGGCCCAAGAAGTTCGTAGCCTTTGTCAGGCCCGGGATGGGAGGTGAGTTGGATGTTCCCATGGCGCTCCTCTCCGCTCAGCCCTGATGGTGGCCCCTGGGGCATCAGTTCGTGCCGAGTCGGGGCTGGAGTGCGCGTTTGTGGAAGGGGCCTCGAAGGCGAACCATGAGCCCCATCCCTTCGCGCTCCGGCCCGAATCCCGCCCGCGGCTGCCGCCTCCCCGGGACGCGGGTGCGAGCGCGGTGCCGGCGGGTGTGCGAGGGGCGGGGCGCGGGGCAGTCGCGGGGCTTTGGGGAGAGTCCGGAGCGCGGCGGGATTTGTCTGCGCGCCTGGTACCTGGCTGGTCCCTTGCAGCCGCTCGGTGCCCCCAGGGACAGCTGCAGGCGGCAGGGACAGGCACCTGGCACCCAGCCTCAGGGATGCTGTCCCCGGGTTTCCAGGTTCCAGCCTCGTAGGACAGAGCCAGGCTCGAGAGTGAGGAAGAAATCCGACCCGACCTGATCGAACGAAGCCTTCCAGCAGAGCCCCGGGAAGGAAGGCAGGAAGGAGGACGACGAGGCCACTGGGGCTTCTCACTGTTCCGCCTGGAGAAGTCTGAACTGGGCGGGGGGCGGGGGGGGGGACGGAGATCGGAATATTCAGAACCGGGAGCAGGTGGTGATCATGGAGACCGACTTGGCCGACATGCCCGAGAAGAGAGGTAAGAGTTGCTGAAGTGTGGTTGAAGTTGTGTTGTGGAAGGGCGAAATTCTTAGTTGCCTCACAGGAGGTGGCTCTTGGCGGAGAGGGCCGTCCGTCTCCTTTGTCTGGGGGAGCGATGGGCTCTTGGAGGGAGCACGAAGGGGCTTGGTGTGGGATCCACCCCCCTCTCCTCTCCAGCTGGGCGTACAATGGACCCTTCAAAGCCACCCCCGGAATCCGAGCGGAAGGTTAGCTTGTAAGGCGTGAGCATAGCCTCGATTACTTTTTCTCACGCCTTCTTCCTCCCAGATGATTATGCCAACCAAGCCTCAATCATGGGTCTGAGAATTTAGCTTTTTGGCTGGCAAAAATATTTTCCACACCTTTTTTGCCACTTTGCACGATTACCATGTGATTTCAATAAGCAAATCATTTTTTGTGTTTTATAGGAGAAAACGGGCCTAGAAGTCAGTGACTGACTTCCACTTTACTAGCGCAGTCTTTGTTGAAGTTTGGTCTGTAGCCTACATCAGGATTACCTTTCTGAACGCCTGTTAGATTTCTAGATTGCCACAGACTCAACGAATGATAATTATTTGGAGGTGGGATACAGCAGTCTTCGTTTTAAATAAGCCTGCAGGGTGATTTTTGTAAACTCTTGAGCCTGTTTTTCTGATATGAACATTAAGCTCAGGGAGATAACTGACTTAGTTTTACAGAATGTGTTAGAATTATAGCAACTGAGTGAATTTAAGTCCTGAGTAGCAACACTTCTGGACATTTCTCCATGACCTGGGATCCTGGAATGTTTGGGGCTCCCTTCCCTTACAGTGTTTGTAGGGAGCAGCATGAGTATGGTGGAGGGAATTTTAGACTTGTAAATCTGAGTCACAAGATGGATCTAGGCCCTATCATTACTGCTTTCTTGCCCTTAGCTCAGTCTTCCCAGGATTCTCCCTTTTCCCAAGAGCGGAACACAGAAGAGGGAGAAGTGCCAGCTCTGCACCTCACAGCCAGATCCCAGGTGAGTGTGAGTCTCTACTGATTATTAAAAATACCCCCTTATTTCTGGGAGTACAGATGCACTCCCTTGTTTCTGAGGTGGAGTTTCTTTGTCCACTAGAGCCCGTATAATGGAGAGCTGGGTTCCAGTTCTAAGGGACTACTTGGGTATCTAATGGACTCAGTAGAAAATGTCTTCTACGTACCCACAGTACCTTCTCCGCCTAGTATTTATCGTCATTCAATAGGCATGTAGAAAGCATTGCCCTTCTTTGAACTTTTATGCTTATTTCTGTGCTTGGATAACATAGGAAACTATTTTAAAAGTAAATTTGGGGGGCGCCTGGGTGGCTCAGTTGTTAAGCGTTTGCCTTCGGGGCTCAGGTCATGATCCCGGGGTCCTGGGATCGAGCCCCACATCGGGCTCCCTGCTTGGAGGGAAGCCTGCTTCTCCCTCTACATCTCCCCCTGCTTGTGTTCCCTGTCTTGCTGTGTCTCTGTCAAATAAATAAATAAAATCTTTAAAAAATAAATAAAAAATAAAAGTAACTGTGGCACGTACCTATTAAAATACGTTTGTCTAGGGGAAACAACATACATATGACTGTTAAATAGAAATTTAGGAAAGCACCTTAAATGCTGAAGTGAATTATGAAGACAAGTATTCAAATAGTTCAAGGAAGTGCTAGAAAGGGAAAGCCTGTGGAAGGTTTAATTTAAAGAGTTAGAATCCAGGCCTCCAAGATGATGAACGCTAAAGTATTTTAGAGGTGAAGTGTTATGTCTGCAGCTTACTTTCGAATCCTCCCCTCCCCAAGAGAATATATATCAAGAATTGGTGAATTTGAGTGGTGCTCGTACTATATGGGTGAATAGTGTGTTAGTCTCTCAATTTTTTGTATATTTGAACATTTTTATGAAAAGAGCTCTCCATGATGTGTGTGGCATACCTCTGTTAGCCTTTCTTTTTGCTGCTATAATCCAGAGTGTAAAAAGTAGACATTGCATATTGATACTGTTTGAAAAGTGACTTCTCAGGACCCTTTTTTTTTTTTTTAATTTTTTTATTTATTTAAGCAGTCTCCACACCCAACATGGGGCTCGAACTCACGACCCCAAGATCAAGAGTCATACGCTTTTCCGACCAAGCCAGCCAGGAGCCCCTCTTCAGGATCCTTATATACTTGCTTATTTCCATTGGTTTCTCAACTGCCTTACATGAGTATTGAAGACTGTATCAGTCAAGAAGTTTTTAAGTTGCAGCTCATGAAAATTCAAACTGGCTTAAGCAAAAAGAGTTATTGAGTAACATAACTGAAAAATCCGGGTATGGCTAGAAATAGAACCCAAACAGTAATATGAGCACATATTCTCTCCATTTCATTGAGCTTTTTTGTTCCCCCCTCTCATTGGATTTAGCTCTCAAGCAGGCTTTTTTCCCCTGGTGCCTGTTCCTAACAAATTTAGGCTTACATCTTCACGTGTTGAAGACCAGAAAAAAAAAGCATCTTCTCTCCTAGTCATTACAGCTCAAGTCCTGGAATTAGCTCTTGAATGGGTACATTAGGTACATTCTGGCACCACTATGGGCCACATATAATTGTAATTCTCTAATTAATTGATGAGACCTGGGGAATATACCTGCACACACTCATACAAACACACATCCCACCCATGAGTCACTGTTGGAATTGGTACTACGTGAACTATACTAACAATACCCAAGCATAGGGGCCAGAGGAGAATCAGGGTGTAGGTACCAGAGGGAGGGTGAATGCTTTATATATTTCAACACTTTGATAATGGATTCAAGACTGTTACAGCTTCAGGGTGGATTAAATCTTTTATGGAAAAAAAAAAACAAAAAACGCTCTTTCGCATTGCATTAGATTTTGTTTGATACTAACAACTACCTTTCTTACTAGAATTTGCCTGGGCTATTTTTTTTTTATCTTTAACTTACTAGATTTTTAAAAATATTAAAGTTTTAATATTTGCTCACTGTAACCAGGTGAACAGCACAGACATATATAAATATAAAGGTAAAGATAGTATGACCTCCCCAAATTCAGCCCTCCCCCTTCTCCCTACTGAGGATAACAGTTTGGTGTATATCTCTTTCCATTTTCTTCTTATCCCCAGCTTTGGGATTTTTGTTTGAGTGTCCTTTCTGTAAACAGGATGTGGTTTTTTTTAAAAACCCATTCTATAAGGTAAATGAACTAATTCATATTAATTACTTTTTTTTTTAAGATTTTATTTGACAGAGAGAGAGTACAAACAGGGGGAGTGGCAGAGGGAGGGAAAGAAGCAGGCTCCCCACTGAGTAAGGAGCCGACGCGGGGGCTCAATCCCAGGACCCTGGGATCATGACCTGAGCCAAAGGCAGACGCTTAACTGACTGAGTCACCCAGGCGCCCCCATATTAACTACTTTTATGTTTCAAATTTTTCTTGCCATGTGATTTTTATAATTCGGTTTATTATGCTTTCTTTATTCTTTTGTATTTCCTGCCTTTTGTGCAATAGTTTGCATTTTTGTTCTGTTTTTTTTTTCTTTTAATGGTTTGGAAATTAATTTCTATCGAGTGTCATTTTGGGTATAGATATGCAGATTATAGGATCAAGGTCATTTTTCCTCATAATATCTACTCAGTGGCTACTTAATGATTTTTATATTTTATTTTCCAAGGATGATTCTTGGTTTTGTTTTGTCTTGTTTTAATTCTTGTTACTTAAATCTCAGATTATTTCTACTTTGGGAACTTTATTTTGAAATAATTTTAGACTTAAACAAATGATGTAAATAGTAAAAAGATTTTTCATATATTCTCCACTCAGATTCTCCGAAAGTTAACATTTACCTCACTTACTTTAATTTGTAAATTTTGTGTTATATAAACTTGATCCTATGAAATTTACACAGGAACATTTATATCTTGTACCTTCAATTAATTTGTTCCTGTTAGTTTCCAGTTTAATGCTTTTTGCCTTGAATTCCGTGCTTGACTGGATTTGGTGCTCACTGCCATTCTTTTCATTGCATGACTTCTTCACATTTGCAAGTTCTGTATTTCAGTTCATCTTCTGATTGGCTAGATTGATTCTTTACGTTTTTATTGAGGACTCACAAGGAGAATGACTCAGACATGCCTTTTTCCTCTGCCTGAATTCTGTTTACTTTGCCAAACTGCATTGTTGGTCCGTTGGTTCATGTTTTAACTCTTTATTCCCCAGAAAAATGATAGTCTCAACGGAGAAACCATAGTCTTACTTCTTTGGGTTCTCATACTGAATCCAGCACAGTGTGCCTGGCACTTGATTGATACCCAGTGACTTTATACATAGAGTATTCCAAGTCTGAATACATTAGAATGCTTGTCATTTATCACAGTCATTTCCCGTCCTGTGTATAGCTTATGCATCTATCTAGGGCCAGCAGAAACTGGGGGGTGAAACTGAGTCTGTGAAGTGAGAGATGGTGAACAAAAGTATGTTTATGTCTTAGGCATCAGTGACATTCAAGGACGTGGCCATGGATTTTACCCCAGAGGAGTGGGGGAAGTTGGATCCTGCACAAAGGGAGGTGATGCTGGAGAACTATAGGAACCTGGTCTCGCTTTGTAAGGATGGGTTCTCATCGTGACTCTGGAATCTGCGTATGGGGACATCATTACATTATTGAAAGTGAAATAGCTTAACAAAGCCTTCACTTTTGCATTCAGAAATCATAAAGTATTGATCCCTTTGGGCCCAGAGAAAATCCGTTTCTGCCCTAGGTTCTTGGTGAAATGTCTATGCTGGTTTTGTATGAAAATTCTTTGGATTCGAATGATAGAAACCTAATTCACACTGGCTTAAAGGGGATAACAAATCTTGATTCAGGGAATCATATGTATTGACAGAAATTTTCTTAATTTTTTTAATCACGTGGCTTGGCTTTGCCCTGTAATAGCTTTATTCTTAGGATCTCCGCATATAGTAAAGATGGACTTTGGCAGCTCTAAGGTTACATGATTCTTCCAGTTAGAGAGAGTACTCTCTGGCCAGTGTGGATCCTGTGCTCACCTCTTCGGGGGGGTGTGCACGTGTGCACATACATATGTGTGTTCATATGGGGGTAGAAGAAACTGTGTTAACTCTTCCCAGTGATATTTATACATGAACATGACCCTTAATTTGTTGCCATTATTTTGAGCACCTTAATTTGTTGCCGGACCCTTAATTTGTTGCCATTATTTTCCAGTTGAATGCTTTTTGCCTTGAATTAATTTTGTGCTTATGTAATAAATTCCCTGAGAAAGTGGGTTCTGGTTACTGAAGAAGGAAGAAAGGGAAAAACCATTAGAAAGAAGACAAAAACTCTAGTCACCACGGTCACAACTTTGGGTGCTGCCGCGGAGATCCCACTTTCTCGATTTCTTCCTGAAGCTAAGGACTCACCTGCAGTGTCTTCCTGGAACTTACCAATAGAGAAAGAGAAATTCTCTCTCTCTCTTTTTTTTAAGCTCTATGCCCAATGTGAGGCTTGAACTCACGACCCTGAGATCAAGGGTCACGTGCTCTATGGACTGAACCAGGCAGGCGCCCTGAGAAGTTCTCTTCTTTTTGACAGGCAAAAACATTTGCCTTTTCCAATGCATATAAGCTCCTTACCAGACCCAGACTTGCTGCAAATATTTTAAGCTTCATTCCGAGGCCCATCCTCCCTCATTCCTGACCTGTCTTTGTAGATCAGAGAGTTGGGTCTATGCTATAAAATAGATCTTTGTGCCCATCACAAATAGTTAAGTCCTGTTATTAAGTCCTCTTTCTTTTTCTTTCTTTTTTTAAACGAGCAGGGCTTCCAGTTTCCAAACCTGAGAACTACAGTTTGGAGAATGGAAAAGAACCATTGATGCTTGAGAGAAAAGCCCCCAAAAGCAGCTATTCGGGTGAGTCAGACACATGGGAGTCTTCAGAAATAATAGCCCTACAGGACAGTGTAAAGGGGGCGCTTTTCAGTGCTTAGGAAAGAATATTAGAAATGCCTATGTGCATTTATTTTTTTAATTGTCTTATTTTAAGTGATAGAGCATTTTAAATAATATAAAAATTGGGGGGAAAATGTAACAGGTATTCACTGTCAAAATCAAACATACGCTGATATTTTGCTTCTTTTGCCTTTCTTTCCTCTGTTTTGCAATATAAAATAAAAATATCATAACTGTACAGTTCTGTGAATTTTCACAAATGTTTACATTCATGTAACTAGTGCCCAGATCAAGAAGCAACCTTACCAGCCTGGAAGTACTCTTGTAGCTTCATTCCTTCCAAGGGTAACCTTATCCTAACTTGTAACACCATAGATTAGTTTTGGCTGTTCTTGAACTATGTTCCAACCTCTGGCTTTCTTCACTGAACATTACTGTGAGATAACAGCCATGTCATTGCATGTAGTTTTAGTTCATTCTCTTTGTTGTGCAGACTTTTATTATGTCACTATACCAGTTTATCCATTCTCTTGAGATGGGCATCGGGGAGGTTTCCAGTTTGGGGCTATATGAATAGTGCTGCAGTGTATATTCTTTAATATGTCTTCTGGCGAACACAAACAGGCATACCTTGGAGATAGTGTGGGTTTGGTTCCAGACCACCAGAGAAAAAGCAAGTATTGCAATAAAGGAATTCAAATTAATTTTTAAATTTCCCATTGCCTGTGAAAATTAGGTTTATATGATGCTATAGCCTATTAAGTGTATAATACCATTAAATTTTTTTAAAAACGTACATACCTTGGGATGCCTGGGTGGCTTAGTCGGTTAAGCGTCTGCCTTTGGCTCCGGTCATGATCCCAGAGTCCTGGGATCGAGTCCCGCATCGGGCTCCCTGCTCGGCGGGAAGTCTGCTTCTCCCTCTGCCTCTGCCTCTCTCTCTGTCTCTCATGAATAAATAAATAAAATCTTTAAAAAAATAAAAATATACATACCTTAATTAAAAGATTGTTAAAAACCTCTAACTGTCGGGGTGCCTGGGTGGTGTAGTCAGTTAAGCATCGGACTCTTGATTTCAGTTGAGGTCATGATCTCAGGGTCATGAGATCGAGACCCGTGTTGGGCTCTGCACTCAGTGCAGAGTCTGCTTGAGATTCTCTCCTTCTCCCTGTGCCTCTCCCCTAACTTGTGCTTGTGCCCTCTAAAATAATAAATAAAATCTTTAAAAAAAAAACAAAGTTTCTTAAAAAGAAAAAAGAAAGAAAAAAATTTACAGATTTAGTTAAAGTCCTTTTATTTGCTTTCTCCCTAGAAGTAACTAGTTAGGGCACATCATTCTAATGTGTGGACATATACGTATACACATGTCAAAAAACAATTACATATATATAGTATTATGTTATACTTTTTATTTTGTGATCCAGTTTTTTTTTAAACTTCACCTTGTGTTTTGATAGTAATCCATGTTAAAACAGATGAATTGTGTTTATTTTGACTCCTGTGGAATAAGTCCATCGTGTGAATAAATTAAATGGTTTGTTTTACCTTTGCTGTTAATAAGAGTCACAATGATCATCGTTTTGTTGGCTCTTTGTATTCATCTTGAGAGATGGTTTAGGTACGTAATCAGAATAACTACTGGATCTTAAAGTATCATCTCGTGTTTAGCTTTATTAGGACCTGCCAAGGTCCTTCCACCATCCTGTAACAGTTGATGCTATCAGATTTAGTAATTTGCAGCAGTCTGTTGGGTATGAAATGAAATTTCATGTTTTTTAATTTACATTTATCTGGTTATGAATGAGTTTGAGTACTTCATATGCCTGTTAGTTATTCAGGCTTCCTCTTTTGTAAATTACCTGTTCGTAGCCTTTGTCTTGTTTTTTGAAATTGGGCCATTCACATATTTCTCTTGATTTGTTGGATTTCTTTATACATTTTAAATAGTACTGTATGACAGAGGTACCATTACAAATTGGTGAGAAAAAAAATGGTTGTTTTTATCTGTGGCTCATTCTATTTTAAGGTGTCTTATGCATACAGAATTTAAAAATTTTAGGGGCGCCTGGGTGGCTCGGTTAAGCGGCTGCCTTCGGCTCAGGTCATAATCCCAGGGTCCTGGGATTGAGCCCCGCATCAGGCTCCCTGCTCGTCGGGAAGCCTGCTTCTCCCTCTCCCTCTGCATGCTACTTCCCCTGCTTGTGCTTTCTCTCTCAAATAAATAAATAAAATCTTTAAAAAATAATAATAATTAAAAATTTTTAATGTTATCAGATTTCTTTCTTTTTTTTTAATGTTTTACCTTTTTTTCTGAATTGTCTTCCTTATTCCAATGTCAGGAAAACAATCTGTACTTTATTCTAAAATGTTCAAGTTTTGGGGCGCCTGGGTGGCTCAGATGGTTGGGCATCTGCCTTCAGCTCAGGTTGTGATCTCCGGGTCCTGGGATCAAGCCCCAGGTTGGGCTCGCGGCTCAGCGGGAGCCTGCTTCTCCCCCTCTCTCTGCCTCTCCCCTTGCTTGTACTCTCTCTGTCTCTCTCTCAAATGAATAAATAAAATCTTTAAAAAAATAAAATTAAAATGTTCAAGTTTTGTCTTACAGGTAGGTCCTCTTGGGGCTTTTTTGCATATTGTGTGAATAAGGAACTTCTGTTATCTTTTGTCCATGCTTAAAGCTGATAGTCCAGCATCGTTTATTGAAAAATCTGCATTTTGTCACAGATTTGTAACACCAACTCCGGTAAACTCTTGTCCTGTTTACACTTTGGTCTGTTTCTAGGCTCTCTGGTTTACTTGTCTATCTGTGCTGCACTAACAGTTGTTTGAATTATTATACTTTATAGTATGTATATCTCTAAAAGGAAATCTTGCTTTAATATTCTTTTCAAAATCTTCTTGTTCTTTGGAATACTGAGTTTTAAAATCTTCCCCTGTGATTATCGATTATGTCTGTTTCCCCTTGTAGGCCTGTCAGTTTTTGTGACTTGCCTATTCACCACCGTTCTCCCTTTTTATATGGGAGATATTGCCATTTTCCGAATGATCTAGAAGAACTCTTCATACATGAGGCATATATTCCTTGTCAGACATTTTTGCTAGTTTTTACTCTTCAGTTTTGCTGTGCTTTTTAGTGTACAAATTTAATGCATTACGATCTTCTAAGTTTTCTGATTTTTGATTACTACTTCAAAAGTTCTCCCTCCAAGATCAAAGAAATACTTGCTTCTGTTCTCTTATATTTGTCCTTTAAGTTTTCTTTTAAATCCTTAATCCATTTGGAATCGCCTCTTCTCTGGTCGTATCTTCTAACTTTCTTTTCTGAACAATTGAATGTTTGAATTGCTCAAGGCTTGGTTTTAATCTCTCATCCCTCTATATACTTGGAATCATAAACTTAAGTGTCTACATGGGACAGCAGGTAACCTATCAGAGTGAAGCAAGCAAGGTAAGCAGGGTGGGACTGATAAACTGGAAGAACACACACCTCAACCAAAAGGAGTGGCCATTCTTCCATTAGCTCTAACTCAAAAGCTGGCAAATTTTTTTATGCAAAGGGCTAGATAGTGAATAATTTATCTTGTGAGATATATGGCCTCTGTTGCAACTCCTCAGTCTGCCATGGTAGTATGGAAAGCAGTCTTAGTTCATAAATGAATGGGTATGGTTGTGTTCCAATAAAACTTTATTTAGAAAAATAGCAGCAAGCTATAATAGCTAGTCTTTGCTCCAGTTGGTTATTGTCATGCAGTATGCTTCTAGTTTTTTCCAAGAGAAACCCAAAATCTGAATTTCTATGTGAAATCTCTCCATTATTAAATGTTGTCACCAATCTCAAAAATTTCTATAAATAGTGTGGGCCAAACAAAACATGTCTGAGCGTCAGATTTGTCCCACTGGTCACCTGTTTGCAGCCTCTGTTTTCTCCCACAACCAAATTATCAGCTCTATCTAGATGAATCCCAAATTTGTATTTCCAGCCTAGATATCTCCTCTGGTCTCCTATTCTAAACATTTGTGTAACTATTTGATGTCTCCATGTGCTTATGTTAAAGATGCCTCAATAGAGCATGTTTAAAACTGATTGCTTGGGGGCATCTGGGTGGCTCTTGGTTAAGTCTACGACTCTTGATTTCTGCTCAGGTCATGATCCCACAGTTGTGTGATCCAGCCCAGCGTGGATTCTTCATCTCCCTCTCTGCCTCCTGCCACTCATGTGTGCTCTCTCTTTAAATAAATAAATAAATAAATAAATAAATAAATAAATAAATATTAACTAACTAAATAAATGAGTGCCTGATATAGGCCCAAATTCTCCTAGTAGGATCCTTTTCCAGTTATTGTTTTAATGACACTCTGTCTTATCAAATTGCAGAAGTCAGAAATCTATGAACAATTTTTACACTTTCCTCTCTTTCTTAATCCAGTTCAGCTTTGCATTTATCCAGTCATACTGTAAATATTTTTTTTCATTGTTAGCATCCCTCCATCTCTCTCTTGTTTGCCTGGACCACTGTGATAATCTTGATTCTACCTTTGTCCCCATAGATTTACACCAGTCTTCTATATCACAGTGAGAGTGATGGTTTCAAAATACAAATCTGATGGTGTCATCCTTTTGCTTAAAACATTCCAATGTCTTCCCATTGCTCTTAAGATAACCAAAACCCTTGAGGCCTACACAGTCTTATAAAATCTGGCTTTTACTCATTATTCCAACCTAATCTCACACCTACTCTCCCTGTTTTTGTACTCTAGCATAGCGGTTCTTAAGTACTTTGGCATCACACGTTTAAAATTACTGAGGACTCTAAAGAGGTTTTTTTATATACTTATATTTTATGTTTTGGTTATATTTACCAATACTTTATTAGAAATGAAAAATTTAAGAAAGTTTAAACTGTGAAATCATTTAAAAATAACAAAACCCATTTCATGTTAACACAAATAATACGGTTTTTATAAAAACACCTATTTGCTGCAAAAAAAATTCATTGGCAAGAATGCATTATTATACATTTCTGCAAATCTATATTCTCACTCCTGCTTCTGAATGCAGTTTGCTGTGACATGTTTTGGTTGACTTGTATGAAGGAAATCCAGCCTCACACCAATATATAGTTGGAAAAGGGAGAAATATTTCATAGCTTTTTCAGATAAGTGTGGCTGTTGTAATATTACACCAAAACTGGGCGAGTGTTAAATTCTTTTTTTTTTTTAATATTTATTTGAGAGAGTGTGCACGTGCATGCCTATGAGCAGGGAGAGGGGCAGAGGGAGAGAATCCTCAAGAAGACTGCCCACTGAGTGTGGAGCCCAACGTGGGGCTCAATCCCAGGACCCTGAGATCATGACCTGAGCGAGAATCAAGAGTTGGACGCTTAACCGACTGAGCCACCCAGGTGCCCTTGGGCAAGTGTTACTTTCTTAAAGATCAGCTATAATGTGGCATCTGGAACCAGATCCATGAATTTTTCATACTCTTTTGTTAAAATCTACTGATCTTCTGGAAAATACTGGTTCACTGGGTTATGCAGATCTCCTAAGTATTGACACATTCGATTATGTAGTGTTTTTTAAATCACAACTTTTAATATCACCATTGACCTTATCAGAAAAGTCTTTAAGGATTAAGAAGCTACCAAGCTCTCCAGAGCAGATACAAGTTTTCCAAAATTCTTCTTTCTGCCCAAAAGCTGAAATTTTATTGAATACTGTTGTTTTCCTTGAATTGACAAGCTCACTTTGTTCATTTTTGAGAAAATGTCAAATACTCAACTTGGATAACATATTTTTTCTGTCAGTCATTCTTCCAAGTAAAAACTGTGGTCCATGAAGAAAGTGGCTAGTTGAGCTCACAGGTCAAATGATCCCACAAGTGGTTTTCTTCAAGACAACCAGCATACTTTGATATGAACAGAATTGCTTTATGAATATTTTCTATTTCATCAATTCCAAATTTTAAGAGGACATATACTCAAGGCTTGAAATTTAATAAAATCAATAATGTTTACTGTTTCCTGAGACATTTTTAAGTGAAACTGGCTCCTTTTTTTCTTAACTGAGAGTACATGGCAAGGAAGAATAACAGGTGCTAGTAAGTTTGTTGTCATTGTCCTAATTTGTGCTAAGTCATAAGTAGTTTTATCATGATTACTTTTGTAAGAGTGCCAGTGACAAGACATTGAAAGAGGCAAATAACATCTAAACATCATATTGAAAATAGTTTTGAACTTCTGGCTTCCTGGGGGTTTATGGACCACACTTTAAGATTTCTACCTACGTCCCTATACCAGCCTTATTACATCAGACTATTAGCACTTACGCTGTGTCAGAATTTTTAGTGGTTTACACTCCTTTAATGCTTATTAAGGTAGGTATTGTCATTATTTCTCATGAAGTAGGTACTGTTACTGCCCATCTTACACATAAAGAAACTGAAATAGATTAAATAATTTGCCCCAGGTCACACAGCTTGTAAGCAGCAGAACTGGGATTATCTTCATGCATTCGGATTCCAGAGTCCATGCTCTCAACCACTGCTTTCCTTGTATATTCCTCTCACCTTGGCGCTTTGGTTCATATCATTCCCTCTCCCTGGAATGCTCACCTCTGTGCTTTTGTACCGATTATCTGCAACACTCACCAGAACTCCAACCCCACTTTCATTTCAACTAAGTGATTTACTTCCTCATTGAAGTCTCCCCTCATCTCCCTAGATTTCCCCTCTTATATTTTTCCATAGGGTCATTTGCCTTTTATTCCTCAATACTTTGCCTTAATTATGACAGGTGCATTTTTATATGCATTTGTGAATGTTAGACTAAATTCTCTCTCCCCTCGTGTGCATGTGTCTTTCCCTAGTGCCTAGCACAGAGCCTAGCGTATGGTAGGTATTCAGTAGATAACTGTTGAATAAATGGATAGAAGAGTAGCTTGGTGAAGGAATAGAACTCATTTGGCTGTATAGAATGAGGGACAGATCTAACTTAATTTTCTTCTAAATGTGTAATCAGTTGTCATAGCACCATTTGTTGGAAAACAAATTCTCTTTTGTTGACTGACTGAAATATCACCTTTGTATTGTTTTTAATTGTATATGCTCGACTATTTCTGAAGTTGCTCTTCTGTTTCATTGATCTATCTATTCCTTTGACCCACCACATTCTTTAAATTATTTTAGCTTTATAAAGGAGTTTTATATTAGATATAAAAATTCTAATATAGTAGATATATTTAGAGAGGTCTAGCTTCCATCCCTGCTCTCTCTCGTCTATTCTGATATTTTCCCTATAGGCAACCATTTTCATTACTATTTCATTTGTCTGTCCTTGGTTTTTGAAAATATAACCAAATATGTACATATATTTGTATCCCCCCCCATTTTTTCTACATAAAGAGTAGCAAACCATACACACTCACTTTCAGCTTGCTCATTTTTTTAAAAATTATTTTATAATGTATCCTGGCAACAACTTCATATCTATATATGGAGATCTTTCTGATGTTTTAAAAAGTTGCATTTTATGTCTACATCATAGTGTATTTAATCAGCTCTCTAAAATCGATATTGAGATGTTACCAGTCTTTTGCTATCTCAATGTTACAACGAGTAGCCTTGTGTCCATATAGTATCATATATTTGCCATTATATCTTTGGGAGATCATAGGAGATTTTTGATCAGAGATGTATTAAAAAAACATTGTTAGGGAAGATTAAACTGAAAATGGAATGCATATTTGGACATGAGTAGGACTGGATGGCTGGAAACCTAGAAGTCATAATGTCCTATACGCTAAAGTGATAACTATATTTATCACAGCAGTAGGTATTCAATAAGAATTTGTTTCTTCCCTCTTCTGATCTAGTGTGCTCTTTTCCTGCTCATCCAGTGATATATTGCTTCATCTGCATCTCTCCTTCTCCTGTATTTCTGGTCAACTTTTACCCCCTTTTGACTATACTGGATAAGGTCTTCTCATTTTCTCCACATATACTGTACATTTCTTTCCTTCCATTTGCTTCTCTTCGCAAGTCATCTTAAAAAGTCAGACCCATACTCCACGGAAGCATGTTTTTCATCTTTAATAGCTGTTACAGAACTGTCTTTTGTTGAGCACTGAAAACAAAGGAAATTTCCATTTCCAATTTCTTTCAGACCTGGAGACTAAACCTGAGGGCAAAGATTCAACTTCAGTGCAAGATATTTCCAAAGAAGAATCATGCCAGGCTGCAATAATAGACAGACTGACAAGGAATAGTGTCTATGACTCCAACTTGGAAACAACTCTTGAATGTGAAAATTGGTTAGAGAATCAGCAAGGAAATCAGGAGAGACACTTGAGAGAAATGTTCACCCACGTGAATTCACTCCCTGAAGAAAGAGCTCATGAACATGATGTATGTTGGAAAAACTTGAGTCAGAAGTCTGTTCTTCTCACTCAAGACAGAGCTCCCAAAGGATCCTATGCCTTCCATACGCTTGAAAAAAGGTTGAAACAGAAATCAAACTTAATGAAAAAGCAAAGAACCTGTAAAGAAAAAAAGCCTCACAAATGCAACGATTGCGGTGAACTCTTCACATACCATTCAGTGCTTATTCGACACCAGAGAGTGCATACTGGAGAGAAGCCCTATAGCTGCAGTGAATGTGGGAAATCTTTTAGCCACAGAGCTAATTTAACTAAACATCAGAGAACTCATACTAGAATTCTCTTTGAGTGCAGTGAATGCAAGAAAGCCTTCACAGAAAGCTCATCCCTTGCGATACATCAGCGAATTCACATTGGAGAGAGACCGTATGAATGCAGTGAATGTGGAAAAGGTTTTAATCGAAGTACACATCTTGTGCAGCATCAGTTGATTCATACTGGAGTGAAGCCTTATGAATGTAATGAATGTGATAAAGCTTTCATTCATTCGTCAGCTCTCATTAAACATCAACGAACTCATACTGGAGAGAAGCCCTATAAATGTCAGGAATGCGGGAAAGCCTTCAGCCATTGCTCATCCCTTACTAAACATCAGAGAGTTCATACTGGAGAAAAGCCATATGAATGTAGCGAATGTGGAAAAACCTTTAGTCAGAGCACACATCTTGTTCAGCATCAGAGAATTCATACTGGGGAGAAACCCTATGAGTGTAACGAATGTGGGAAAACCTTCAGCCGGAGCTCAAATTTTGCTAAACATCAAAGAATTCATATCGGAAAGAAACCATACAAATGTAATGAATGTGGGAAAGCCTTCATTCATTCATCAGCTCTTATTCAACACCAGAGAACTCATACTGGGGAGAAGCCCTACAGATGTGATGAATGTGGGAAAAGCTTTAAGTGCAGTTCATCCCTCATCAGACATCAAAGAATTCATACTGAAGAGCAACTCTGAAAAATTACTGAATGTGAAGAAATGTAAGTTGGCTTTATCACTGTGTTAAAATACCTGAGTGTTTAGGTGGAACATCCATAAAATGCTGCTCGAGGACCAATTCTTTATGCGTCTACTTTTACTTGCATAACACATAGTTTTGAGCCATAGACACCATGTTCCTTATATCCATTGATTTGATCATTACGAAAGCTTCTGGCCAGGGAGCTCAAATTTTGATCTCCATCCCCCACCACCACTACCAAATAACCCTTTCATGGAAATTCAAGAAATCCTTGGGAGTGGATAGCAATCTGATCCTTGTGAAGTCTGGTTCCTCCCTCTCTTTGTCACATGAAAGCCTTGTTACAGCATCTCACTCGGTAAGGAAATTCTTATTTGTAAACATAGGTAGGGGACTTCTATCTCTCTCATCAGGAAAACACAGAGTTGTTCCTCTTTGGATCCGAAGTAGAGCTCCAGATGTACAGCTACTGTCATTTCTCCAGGAAGGGTTAATTCTTTTACATTAGCTGTAAAATGTTAAGGTTAAGAGTTGAAATATGCTTTGGATTCCCTCCCTCCCCCAAAGGCTACTGTCTAATTTGATGAACATAAATAGACTGTATTGCAGGTTCTAAGTTGTGTTCACTTGGATTCTGCTGGTCATAATAAGTTTAGATCATTGTTATCCCTCTGCTGTGTAGATTTTCATTTTCTACTTCCTTGGAATTTCCCTGAAGTTAAGAATGGGTCAAAATCTTAACTGCAGTTTTCAGTCAAATGCCTCTTTTCTTATCCTTGGCATTGAATGAGTCTTTGGTTTTTCTATAATCAAAGTATTAGGGATATTTCATTTCCAACTCATTCACTTACAGTTATTCTGCTTTCTGTAAACCATGCTTTGTCACTTTGAGAAAAAGCCCCTAGGATGTTGAGGGTCTGAAAAGTTGATGAATTCAATGTGTTATATTTAGGGTCCTAGTCAAGAAGGAGAACTGAAGCAACTCTGGGACACGAGAACACACCTTCCTGTCAAATATGGAAAATAGTTCACAGGACAGTAACTCACTGGAGGATAACAGCTTCCCTCTATGAAGAAGAGGTTGCCGTTTGTCTGGCTTTCATGTCTACCCACATTTTTTGTTGTTATTGTTCTCCCTGTATGTTTATTGGGCTATATCCCAGAGCCCTAAAAAAGGTAGAAAAGGCATGAAACCACATGATAAGTTACATGGGTGACCAAAAACCAGGGGTGAGATTGGAAACACAGGAAGCAAAAGTTCAAATAAATATTTAGCAAAACAGTATACAAATGTCAATTTTTATTGTTACTCTATGAAAAGAAGAGTATAGAAAAGATAGAAGGGAAGTAGTTACGGGTTTCTTCTTTCTCTTCTCCTAAATTCTATTCTTTATGAACATTCAACAACCAGTCCATGCTCTTGTCTTCTCCACATTATCTCTGTTATTTCTTAAAATTCCTTTTCTGTAAACCTTAGTTGTATTATTGAGGAGAAGTAGAAGAATAGAGTTTAGAGCAAGATCATTAAGGATGAATGGGTTAAATCCAGCCGTGATGGAAATTAAAACAATAGGAAATGGGGCTGAAAGGACTGGGGAGAGGTTTTGGAAAGAACAAAAAACATGTTGTGGGGGTGGAGGTGGGTGGGAAGGCTCAGGGACTGAGGTCAGGGTAGGACACTGACACAGGAACAACGTAAAGGGAAAGGTGCTCGCTCAGCTCTCTTCACCTTAATACTCAGTATTCATGTTCAAAAGTAGGAACTGACAGACTATGACCTGGACCCACGACCAAGTCCGGCCTTCTGCCTTTATCTCTAAATGATGTTTAGTTGGATCTTGACCACACTCATTCATTTACATTTATTTGTGCTACAACGTCAGAGTCGAGTAGTTGCAGCAGACATTATGTCCCCCAAAGCCTAAAATACTTCATATTTCTCTATGTGCCAAATGCTTTTGAGTGAAGAAAAATTCATCATTTGGGGGCCAAAATTTGACTCACAAAATAAGATCACTTGGACTTTTCAGAGCTGAGTTTGAATTCTACCACCTCCAATTAGCATTTATTTGATCTTACTACTTGCTGGCTCTAAGTGTCAGGGTCTTCATCTGTAAGATGGGAATAAATCATCCCTCTCTTGTAAGGTTGTGAGGATTAAATAAGACAAAGCATGTCAGAGATCTCACAATAAATTAAACAGCTAGTCTCTATATGTGTATGTTTGTAAATATATACATATATATGTATTTTAATGAAACATCAGTCCATTTGGGCTGCTACAACGAAATAACTCACCACAGACTGAGTGGCTTTATAAACATTCTCACAGTTCTGGAGACTGGGGAGTCCCAAGATCAAGGCACCACCAGGTTCAGTGTGTGGTGAGGGCCTGTTTTCTGGTTCAGGGACCACCATCTTTTTGTTAGGTCTTCACATGGTGAAAGGGTAAGGGGGCTCTGGAGCCTCTTTTACAAGGGAAACTAACCCTTTTCCTGAGAATTCTGCCCTCATGACCTATTCACCTTCCAAAGGCCCCACCTCCTAGTACCATCACACTGGGGATTAGGTTTCAAGATAAATTTGGGGAGGTACAAACTCAGCCTGCAATAAGTGGCTAAGCATCAATCAGGTAGAAATTAAGAATGAATGTGTCGGAAACCTGGGTGGCTCAGTCGTTAAGCATCTACCTTCGGCTCAGGTCATGATCCCAGGGTCCTGGGATCGAGTCCCGCATTGGGCTCCCTGCTCAGCAGGAAGCCTCCTTCTCCCTCTCCCACTCCCTCTGCTTATGTTCCCTCTCTAGCTCTCTCTTTCTCCCTCTGTGTCAAATGAATAAATAAAATCTTAAAAAAAAAAGAATGAATGTGTCTTCCACACCTTTTGTTTACCGATCAAGAACTGTCACCATCCTACTGTCCAGCATATCATAGAGAAGGGGCTTTTCTTTCTGCTCTTGCTTCCATCTGGTGCTGCTCCCTACACAGCCTCCTTGAGACCCTGGGAAATCAGCTTTTTTTTCCCTTCCAAGTTCCCTTAACCAGGAACTATCTGACAGTTTCAGAGACTCAAGTTTGTAATTTAATTGCAGTTTAAATAGCGTTAAGAGACTTGCTCTGAGTTAGTTTTACTGGGAACCCTGGCCCTTGACATTTCAATATTTGTTCTGTTTATGTTTGATGTTCAATGTGACTATTTGTACTCCGACATGAATTTTGGAAGTTTTAATGTTCTGCTTTTCAAATGTTTTTGGTTACCTATAAACTAAATTTGACTGCTCTTATTGGTCCACTGTCAATAAAGATGTTTATATATTTGTTGTCAGAAAATTTTGTAAATCACTTCTAAAGTTTCCTAATTTAAGCATAGTTTAAGAGGCAAAGATAGAAAACCAGTCACATTTCTAATTGTCTCATCTGGGCTTCACAACTTCTGAAGACATGGGTTGGGGAATGCCCTACATAGCCCATGTCTCTGCGAGAAGGTTGAAGAGTAGAGGAAGGTTGTTTCTACCAAATGGTGTTGAGTCCTCAGGCCAAGTGCAGGTGCCACTCATTTAAGAGGGGGTAATGGGGAAAAAGACCCCACTCATTTATCAGGGGTAACTGTAAAAAGTACCGTTAAAACTAGACAAGATCAGGTAGACTGATTTAGTGTAAATTTTAAATTACATCTGGCTTTTGGGAGGACAATGTTACATCACCCAAAGTATTAAAGCAATAGTACTGTATAAGAACACCAAACAGTATTCAAATTAGTCAGCAACTGACTAGTTCAATTGTCTATCAAAAGTTTCTAATAACTGGGCGCCTGGGTGGCTCAGTTGGTTAAGCAACTGCCTTCGGCTCAGGTCATGATCCTGGAGTGCCGGGATCGAGTCTCACATCGGGCTCCCTGCTCGGCAGGGAGTCTGCTTCTCCCTCTGACCCTCTTCCCTCTCATGCTCTCTATCTCTCATTCTCTCTCTCTCTCAAATAAATAAAATCTTTTAAAAAAAAAGTTTCTAATAACTATTTTCCTAGATGAGTTTTCACTTTTTATTTTTTTTAAAGATTTTATTTATTTGACAGACAGGAGAGAGGAAACACAAGCAGGGCGAGTGGGAGAGGGAGAAGCAGGAGGGAGCCCAATGTGGGGCTCGATCCCAGGACCCTGGGATCATGACCTGAGCCTAAGGCAGACACTTAACAACTGAGCTACCCAGGTGCCCCATGAGTTTTCACTTTTTAATGTCACAACAGGACTCAAGTTGGAAGGTCTTCATCCCTGCTTTCTCCCTTTTCCTTACCTATCTTTTTAGGTCCCAATGGGGCAATCTTGGATCCAGAACCACATGAGCTGTCCTTCACCATAGGTTTTAGTGGCAAAAGGGAAGGGTGTGCCCCTGTAGTAATACATATAACATGACATCTATGGATTACCTTGTAGTTCCAGTTGATACACTTAAAAAATCAGATGTTTTCATTGAATTGTTCTTTAAATTTTTTAACCTCTGTTAGTCCATAAATCAGATAATCTGCCCTTAGATTGAGTTGACTATACATAAAATGTGCATACTTACTCTCCTCCCCACTCCCAATTCACCCATAAACATTACTATAGTGTCAGAAAAGTTCATGTGTCTGAGGAATCAAGAGTGAAACTAGAGACTCAGGCATTCCTTGATCGAGGACTATTTACCTCCATCTCTGCTCTGTTTTTTTTTCTGTATGGGCTATATTCTCATCAGTCTTTTCCAGTGATGACAAATACATCTACTGGTAATTCCAAGTTACTATGGCTCTAAGCATTTACAATCCCAAGGAGGATACTTCTTTCTAAGTAGCTCCAGCAAAATCCCCAAGGCTATTTCTCAGCTTTGCTGGAGATCATGCTGATTGATCACTGAACATTATTGGTTCAATTTCTCAAACTGGAATACAAGCAGTAGAGTGGATAAAAGTATTATGTCCATGTTAAATTTATTGAAGCTGACAACTGTACCATGCTTATGTAAAATAATATCCTTATTATTGGGAAATGCACATTGAAGTACGTAAGGGGATGAAGCATAATGCATGCACTTTACTCTCAAATGATTCAGAAAAAATATGTATATATAGAGAGAGTAAATGATAAGACAAACAGGATAAAATGTTAATAAGTGAATCTGACTAAAGGGAACATAGATATCCTTTGTACTTCTAATACAACTTCTGTAAGTTTCAGATTATTTCCAAGTAAAAACATTTTAAGTAGACAGATATATTAACAGGACCCAAAATCAGACCCATGCTAGAACATATATATAAATAAAAGGCAAAAGTATACACAATGCAATATTAAAAGACTTTTTTCTGTCTTTTAAATGCTAGGTTAGTGGGCTTAACCACAACGGAAATGCTGGAAGTCTGGAGGGGGAGGGGAGGGGGACCTGATATCTCCCAAGATTAACCTTCACTTTTTAAAAAATTATTGTACATGTGATTTTTTTTTTTCCTGTTCCTACATTTGTGCTGCCCGTGTACTCTTGGCACATTTCAATAAAATTGTTTGGGGAAAAAAAAAAACCTATCCAAGTATCCAAAGATTATCCATTAATAAATTTTTGAATGGGAGAAGACACTTTCACATTTAACTGAAAAAAAAAAAAAACTC